AAAAAAAAAAACAACCCCCCACATCACTCTACAGAGGCAACAGTCTTAATGTATGTTATATATGTGTACCGTACATTGGAACGTGAGCACACACTATATATAACGTGAATAAGAAAAGAAAATACAAAAGAAAAAAGAAAAGAAAAGAAAATCGCTATTTGTCGCAGCTCTATTATATCAATATATATATCTACTGATTTAGAAACGCATGGAAATCGTTACAAACTTTTTGATTCAACACACCTATTAATATTAAGCACGTTGATATATGGTATATCATTTATAATATTCAGCAACAATCAAATATGCATGAGGATTTAAATAATGATGATGATTACGAAAACAATGAATTAAAAGAACGATGGCAAACAATACCGTATAATCAATGGTGTATATCAAGTGCGCTCAAAGAACTTGAAACGGTAAAACTCTCGTGAATAGCTGTTGTAGTCCGTTGAATATGTAAATGCTATTCTGGGAGAATCTCGTTATGTATGATAAGTGTGATTTTCAGTATGCAAGGTAGAGAATAAAGGAAACTATTCCATGCTCAATATCTATGGCGGGGCGTGTTACTATAACCGAAGAAAAGGACAAAATTTTATTACATAGTGCTTTTGTTACTTTATACGATGTCATTGCATCTTAGCTTGACCAAAGTATTTTAACTGTCGTGAGCGGTTGATTCGTGTTTCAAAGATCAAATTTGGTTCGATTCGATTCGACTCCATGTTTCAAAAATTAAATTCGGTTCGGTTCGACAAGCAGCCGAATCGAACCAGAACTAAACAATCTATCTTTGTTATATAAGACTTATTACAAAAAATCTGAGACGGAATAATACATAGCTACGCCTAATATCAAGTTTATGGTCATATAAAAACACTATGAGACACGATCATTTTCTAAGCGCTTAAAGCGGTTAAGGTTTTCAGATATGCTCTTTACAATGATGCGCTTTATAAAGTTCCAGAATACTTATGTGTGGGTTTTCTAGAGACCCGATCTCTGGAGAACCCAGATGGAAGCCTCTTTGGACTTCGTAAAACACACCATTGGAAAGAGCATATCTGAAAACCTATAACAAAAGTGTTTATAGACTTTCGGACGGCTTTTATAGCAAATGTTCGCCTGGCCTATGGAAAATGCACACTGTACCACCACTAACAAAATCCTGGCTACGCTACTAATAAAAGAGTAATACTGGACACTTCCGAGAACCAGGTCCTACACTTACTCGTCGTTCTACACAGAGAATATGTCTTGGATCGGTAGAAAATTGAAAAGTTCCTGAAGATTGGCAAGCACCAGAAACCTGTCCCCGTCGTTTCTCCATAGTCGATCACTTATTTTCATTTCCATCCAATCAAGTTCAAGAAAACTTTAGGGCCAACAGGATCGCACCTAGAAATCGGTAAGAGATTCTCAGACGCCGGTTACTATGTTTCTCCTTCATCCTCCGTCAAATTGCAAGAAAAATCGGCAGAAAACCAAAGGTTCTCCAGAAACCCTCTGGAGATCTTAAGTACCGGATATCATCTTCAGCCGTCATATTGATTCAAACTGTAGCTAAAACTCCGTAGAAAACCAAATATTTTCCAACAAAACTTTCTGAAGACCCCCTAGAGATCCTCTGATGCTAACAATAGATTCTCCATGCTGGATTACTTATAGTCCCTAAGTTTCAGCCATCTACACCGATTCTCTCAAGAGTTATTAAGCTTTTGATTTCGCCGTGTGGATATACAAACATTTTAGTTTATATGACCCTGACTAACGTCAAGGGAATTACTGGTGACCACGAATTACTGGTGACCACGACTGTGGTAGCACTAGTTTTTTATTGTATGATTGATTGAACAATGAGTAAACGGATTCTAACCATCTCCTCGTATAGATATTTCTTTCATGATCAAAGATGACGCTATCTTTAAATTCGATATCGCTATCTTTACAGTTTGAAACATGTTTGGCAATTTCAGATATTTTTATTCTTTTCTTTTCTACACATTTTTGATGTTGCTCTAAACGTATGTGGAAGTTTTCAGTTTCTCCTGCGTATAATGCATTACATTTACACAAATTCCCATAGACAGCATTGATTCTTGACCAATTATTAAGTTCTTGCGCAATCTTTCTCGTTTTATTAAGTAATTCTCCTATATCTGGAGAATGTTTTGTATACGTTTGGATCTTTAAATGTTTTAAACTCTGTTTTATTTTATCTGTCATTCCACTTAAATGTGGTCATACGAAGTAAAAAGGAAGAAATAAAAGAATTATTAAATATTTCGAAATTCTCCCACTAAAATGAAAAGAGTGCTCCGCTTAGCATATGGAGAGGATTATCCCGAACAACTTAGCCAGCGAAAAGTTTTCTTCAAAATGCTTCATTGTTTTTGAAATCTGCGCATAAATTCGTGTACGAGGTAATGAAAAAAATCGAATTTCCATGCAAGTGCGATTTCACCTAATATGGGTTTTCACTAGGTTTTTGAATTTTCTTCGAAAAACAAAAATTACCACTAGACTCAGCGTGGTGAATAACCCATGTTTCCATTCATTTTCGAGCTTATCCCGCCTAAGGAAATATTGATCCTGGGGCTTCCAGGGAATCCAGTGCCACGCCTAAACCACGAAAGCTTCAGAGATCGCGTAGTTTCCATTTTGTACAGGACATCTTAAGGTATCATACTTATATGAGAAACACAGAGAGCATTCTGGTAGATCTTGGAACCACGATCTACTCTTTCAAAGACTAATAAGTGTACCATCTACAGATGGTATTTTCTGAGATATTTTTATGTCAACTAGTAGGCAATCATCTTTTCTATGTAATGCTGAAAATCGCAAGTCTTCAAAGTGCATTGTTTAAAAGTTATTAAAGAAATAGCCACCGGCATTCTTTTTTAATAATATATGGGCTTTTAATTCATATAAAAGATATGTGAATATGTGAAAAAATCTCGAAACAGCCCCCCCACATCCATGACAAATTAAAAAACACAGTACAGGATTTTGTAGCCCTTGAGCAGTTGATTCAAATAATATATTTATTATTCGTTATATTTGAGCGAAAGAGGTTGAAAGAAAAAAGAATGCAGACGACCAGACTACAGCGAACTGACATCAATTTTAGAGAAAAAATTTATAAAAGGTCTGTTAGATAGAAATTTTTTCTTCCTTTTTTACACATAATAACTATGAATAATTGTACATCTAAACATACTTGAACAAAATTTTTGTCATTATTCCTGCATAGATGTATCATTTCAGGGTTTTAAACATCCAGAGTGAGAAACGGAATAAAATGTTTCTATATGCATAGTGCTCTAGACAATTGAAGTCAAATTATGTTAACATAATTTGGATCTTTAATCTGAATATTTAAAACCCTGAACTGACACATCTATGTTTAGATAGAAGTTTACACATCAATATGTTAGAAAATATTATAATGCTGTATAATGCAAACTACCTATCCTTTTATCTTTTTTCCCGACTTAAATAAGCACTTTTCCGTGACTTATGCTCGCACATGTACCGAATGACATTGACACATGTATATTTGGACTCTCTTAGTCTTGAGGTTTCATTTGAGATACTACAAGATTATATTTTGCGATGTTCGTTTTTCGTCATTTCTGGGGTACTTCCAACCTCTCCATTTAATCCATCTATGAATATGCTCCAAAACGCAAGTTAGTGCCAGATAGTCCAAGTTGTGTAGTATACGACTAACCATGTCGATTTATATAACAAGTGCCTTCGGACATAAAAACTGAATTTTTAAAATGCTCCATTTTCACTTTCTCTGAACTTAGAGATGTCCTGCGCCCGTAGTGAACTACCTTTTTCAGATTAAAGCTATAAATTTGAGCCATACGTGTTCTGTGCAGTGAAACTCGTGTTTAGTCAAATACTTTAACTTTTCACAGAAAAATTTAGCCAAAAAGTACGACCATTATTAATATTTTCCAATTTTGCAGATACGATTTCGCACTCGTGCGAAGGTCGAATCCACATATGTTTTTGGGTACAGGTAGTATGCGACCTATACTGCTTATGCTTCAACTACGAACTCTAGCTCTGCTACGTAGACCGAAATATGACGCCTGTAAAATGCAGTTTTCGCCACATGCTGTTTTTAGGGCTTTTACGAAAAATGCTGTAAGACCAAAAGGAAGCATTATCTGGTCAAAAAATATTGGGAATCTTCCTAAATATGTTGCCTCTACCACCCATAGGAACATGAACCAAAAGTTCGAACGTCGATTGAGCAACACATAAGGGAATCGGTCGTTCTTTCCGTGCAATGGCTCCTAAGTAACTTATACCTATCTTAGTGAGATATTATTATATAATGTTATATGTCTCTATGTGACATATTAATACTACAATTAATTTAGGAACCAATTACAGGAACCTGGAACAACATAAATCGCATATTTATGAAACTTGTTTCCAAGTTTCATAAACTTTAGGAAACTTGGATGTTGAGTTTGTTAACCCAGAAGTTACATAAAAATGATGTGTGATTTATGAAACTGGATTCATGAAGACAGGATAATTCATTTAACACAACAATGGTGCTGCAAAAATTTACCGTGATTTATTTCAAAAGAACGTTGGCCTGTTAATAGCCGCGATTTCAATTCTTTGGACTGTTACATATGAAACGAATTAGTTCAGGCAATGAACTGCAGTAAAGTCATAACAGAATTGACGTTGATTGACGAATTAAAATGAACGATGAAAGAAATTAGAGCAGAATTGTTGTGCAAAGTGTTTTAGTAAACAAATGTATCGTGTTTTACAAAATGATGGAGATTATTTACGTTAAATAAAACATGCCGTTTTGTAGAGAATTTCACGGCGCATCTTTTAAAAAGAACTTTAAGCCCAGGGAGTAAAATCCAACTGAGATATAACCAAAATACTGAGCGACAGATTTAGTCTGAAGCACGTCCTGTTTCTTTATTAAGCAAGTCAATTCTCTCTCACTCATTTCTTTTGTATACACTTTTTTCTTGTTCTTTTACTTTCTGATTTATAAAACTTCTTAATATATGTAAGTCATGTTTTTCTTTGATATTTGCAATTGTTGCTGCATCTAAATAATAAACGTGTGGTCCATAGAGTCGCGTTCTTATTCCAATTGCGTTCGGTTTCTCCAAATTCAGCTCACCGCCAAAATATCGACGTTCAACATATCGTCCACCTTCAATCACACTATCCATAGATATAAACATCGTTTTTTCTGGTATTTTCATACCAAAAACTTTAAATAAATGCGTTAATTCATGGATTAGCACTAAACATGTTCTTAAAATAACAATATCATCATCTTCTGGTTCGTAGTTATTTGAATCAATAATCATCCGACGCTCTTCGTCTATTCGATCTACTTGTTTTTGCATTGTTAAAGCATAGGATTCAGCACGTGCTGTTTGAAAATCTTTGTGATATCTAAATGATCAAAATCTGCAGTTATACTTAAATTGTTAAAGTATGAAACTCAGTGATATAAACTAATATTCCATTATAGTTTTCTAAACTGGAACTATCGAAAACCACAAAATCCATTTTGTACGAATAGAGATTCGAATACATGAAGTTCATTGGAAAAGGGAACACGAATAAGAGAGAAATTTCTAGTATGACACTTCTTGATCCACTTGTTATGACTACTAACATCCAATTCTGCCGGAGGGAAGGTTCTTTATGGCTGGATTTCAGTCCAGCTATTTTCAAATTTTTCTTTTTCTAACCTCATTAGTGGAGTTTTTTGTAACGATGTTCAATATAATATAGAAATTTGAAAGAAATATTATCATCAGGAAGAAACTTCACGTTACTGTCGAATAAGTTTTAGGAGAAGAAACATGCTAGATACAGGTAAACGAGGCTCGTAATATTAAGAAAGCAACCAATGATTCTGAAACCCTTGCTGTTTTTAATGAAAGTCTCAGAAAGTTTTTCACAGGCTTTTCAAATAAACGAACCGTTTTCTGTTTTACTAACGACTAGAAAAGTGTGCACTATAGTTCGATGTGGAAAGTCAGTTTTCGAACAGTCTCTTAAACAGAAGCTTGAAATAATTTAAAACGCTGGCTTAAACTATTTGACTCAAAGCGATATCTCAATAGATGACGATGATATTGTTGTTTTACGAACATCTTTAGTGTTAATCCAGGAATTTACTCATTTATTCAAGGTTTTTAGTGAGCTCAATAGAATTTTTATCGAGAAAATGAATGTAATCAACTCAACGTCGTTTCATGATGTGAGTCGATTGTAATCGAAAAATGTGCATAGGAATGAAATATAGTCTTAAATGCACTCCTGCTTTGGAGAAACGATTCATGAAAAAGGAACAAAGGCCAGTTTTTCCACAGACACTCTCAGTCCGTTTCTATGCGAGTTCTGACAAACTTTTCTTCATTTCTTAATTTACGATAAATACCGTTATGAATGTTTAAATAAAGAGCCGTTAAGTCATCATTCTTTTGTAATATATTTGATGTAAATTCAATTATATATGGATGTAAACGAGTAATCTTCGAAATAGGTACGTTCTTACATTCTAATTTTAATTCTTTGAATTTTAAATTCAGTAATCCGTTAATTTTCACTAAAACAATAGATACAAAATGACTGTTGATAATGCTGCATGGTGTGGAGCTAATATGATACTGTTTGGCAATTGTATTTAGAGACACATGGTGATCATGTATCATTATCTCTAGATGTACTTACAGCATCACAAGCTGAACCTTACTTGTTGTTGGTGTAGAAACTATAATATCATCCTTAAGCATTGCCATTGCACCACCATTACCACTTGAAGATATATCCTGAAAAAATTTATAATTAACTTTTTATTTAAACTTCTTCAGTATAAAAAAACTTACTGTGAAACGATATGTGCTACTCAAAATTAACTGATCTATTTCATTCGTTTTTTTCTTATCATCATACTTTGTTGCAGCAATTTGTTCTACGAGTTTACCAAACTCATTCACATGCAATTCTGTTGCATCCCTAAAATATAAAATAATGCACTCTTTTTTTTGTATTTCAGATAATTGATTACACTAACCGTTTGTAATTATTCTGTATTTTTAATTGGTGGAGGACACGGCGAAAATCACTGGCAAGAGATGATTCCCAATATTTTTTATTATCGATTACACCCGCGAATAAAATTTTAATTTCGGGTAAAGTTGCCTGCTTTTTATTTGCATCAGGGAACAGGATTTCATATTGGTTGTTTGGCATCATATAACGTAGAAGATTTGAAAGCAAGAAGGGTACTCCATACAAGCCTCTAGGCAGTAGATGGGCATGTGTTGTCCCGTTGAGATTCCATTTCGGTGTACAGATGATAAATAATTGAACACTGAAATTTTTTTGTGTTTGTCTGCAAGTGACGCTGTAGTATTCTGATTCAAACAAAGAAATATTGAATAACAGAAGAAATATGTAACTGTCGCAAAAATCTGTTTTCTTTGCTCAAATTTTACAAAACAAAATACAAAGTAATATAATATGAACTTCTGATATGCATAGCATATTATCTTCAGCTGAATTAGACTAAATATGTACAGCTACTCCTAGCGCTAGAAAACGTCTCATTTTAATCAGAGACATTTGTTCTACAATCCGGTACCATTGAAATGTTCTTGATTTCGCTTTTCTATCGACGCCGCACAACTTTTCAAAAGGTCGGTTTTTTAGGGCTTTTAGAAAACTTTTCTTCAAACCCTCAAAAACCCTTGATGACACCAAAATCAACAAGGATTTCTAAAGTAGACACCATGAGCTATCCCATGGTGTGCTTAGCTCGATACTGGCTTTTTACGAAAATTTTGTAGCGGGACCTTAAATATCTGGAAAATTTTGGGTTTTAACGCCTTCATAGTTCAAAATCGTCCTCTGAAAGAAAACACATTAATGTGACTAAACTTGATCCTAGATCACATTTTTTTTAGAGTGTAAGTTAAAAACTTGAATACATTCAAACGCATTAAAATTGTTTAGCTCATGAAAATAACACATTACACTTTAAGCGCAATTAAGTGCATTCATGTAAGATCATGTGAAGAGAACCACCAATTTTCGGAAAAGTTCCTATCATTCTCAATAGTATGTTTGATTAAGTAGGACCAATTAAGTCCAAAATTTTCGAGAGGAATTCGATGGCATTATCAGAAAGAAGTAAGAACTCTTTGTTATAGAATGCTGATACTATTTTCGTTACTAAAAAGCGTTAATGCATTCACATGCATTAATTTTTAACTGTAACTGTAAATTCATTAGACTTCTCTTAAGGGTTCCCCCCTCAGAAATTATCTCCGACACCGTACATCCGATCTTGACGAAACTTTCCATAAATGTTCGGCACAATGAGTTACGAGAACAAAAAAACTTTTTCTCTCCAAGTCTTACGGTTTAGGAGTTTTCCAGAGATCAAGGTCCAAAAAGGACCCTGAACGGCGTCCCAAGATTTTTTAATATACTTCAAGCTGGAGAGTTCGGGTTTGTTTTATTCTAAACTAGACNCCGATTTTTCAGTTAAGCCTTTATTGGTTTTCCAGGCAACCAACAACCTCCGAAACCCGAAAAATCCTTCCGGATTTTCTAAAAATCCTCAATTTGACAAAAAACTAAGACCTAATTCAAAAATCGACGCGGTCAGTCGATGTAGTTTCTTTTCCTCTTTTAAACACAAAAAGAATGAACTCTCTACGACAAACCGCTATTAAAAATCTTGGGACGCACTCTACAAAGCTGTGTTTTCAGAAAAATTTTAATTGCATAAGTATCCAGGAAAAAGCCATTATTTAAAGACCCGTTTTTTCGAGACTCTTAGAAAACTTACTCAGAATCCCCGAAAAACCAGTTTTGTAACCAAAAGCAATACAGATTCTGAAAGTAGACACTTCAGGCTATCTTTCCATGTGCGTATCTCAAAACCGATTTTTT